ATCGTTTTATATCAAAAGAGCATATATAATTGAAATCCAAACAATGATAAAATTATATTATAATACTCTATTTGTTAATTATATGTGTTCATATAATCTGGTTTTACAAGTTCTTATTTAAAATTTACATTTATTTAACAGTATTAAAAATAACTTTTGATTTGATTTACTTAAAAAGCCTGCCAAAAAACTTTCATTACCAATGAGTACATTACATTTGATCGTAGATTTGTGGTAGTAAACATTCATTGCAGTCAAACAATTATAATATGAATTAGAAATTAATATTTATTCAATTTTTTGTTGGTAATAACTAATAAAGGAAATTGCAATTAAATTTAATTCAAATATATGTTTATTATGAAAAAATCTATTTACATACTTTAAAATACATGAACTTTGAAAAAAATTTATCTAAACTACACATTCATGTGTAGTCAACTAAATAATAATTTATCCAAATAAATACTTTTTGTCTACCTAAAAAGCTCAAAAATAAAACTTTATTACCAATGAGTAACATTTACATTGATTGCACATTCATTTTAGATTTGTAGTCAACAAATTATAATAATAGATAGTAATTTTTGTAACGATTAAAAATAAATGTAAGTAAATGTAATTTTAAATGCCTAAATTTTAACTATGAGAAAAGCCAAATTGATATTTTTTTTTGTGTGTGTATAAGATATATTTTTATTAATTTAAAATATCTTACTGTTATTAATTTAAAATACATTACTTTTTTTTTAAGAATCTTATTTTGTCAAAGGTCAAAGTCAAACTATGCATTAACTAAATTGTCATCTTCATGCTCCAATACACATTATATAAGCATCCGAAAGAACCATGTAAACTTTTTCAAAACATATTTGCAAACTCTAAACCAGAAACTTAATTCTCATATCCCAAACTTTCAGGCAAAAGACATGGCAGTATCAAAACACCAATTTTTATCGCTTTCGTCTTTTATCTCTCATGTTAGCTCCTTCTTATATACTTCTCTTTATATATATAAATTGATTGAATCGATTTAGTAGACTAACTAAACTGTGTTTGCTATTGATTAATAGGCATATTATTATTAGTGAATGTCTCTGGGATTGAGGTGTTCGGAGGTATAAAGCCACCATGCTCGACATCAGAAATTTGTGAGTCATGGTGTTTAAGAGAAACAGGCGGACAAGGAGAATGTAGGCAAGGAGAGTGGTATTGCAAGAGGCTAGAGTGCAAGACGGACAAAGATTGTGATCTTATATACCTTGAACAATTTAATCACTGTATTAATGAAAAATGCTTATGTTCAACTAATTAATCGATTCTAAAAAGAAAATAATAATACACTTGTTCTTCCTACTCAATCTCCGATTATATGCAATTCTTACCATCATAAATTAACAATATTAGTAAATCAAAAATGTTATTTTTTCCCGGTCAATTATTGAGATTATTTTGCAAGTAATTTTAAAGTTGCTGCGACCATACATATTTAAATATATTTCAACCGCACAATGATATATATATATATATATTATATCTCCAACTCTGTCTTATTATATAAAGTTTTATTTTTATTTTATCAAATATACAACATTTTAAATATCTAGCTCCACATGCATATTAAAACACATTTTAAAGCTTAAGCAAATAAGTTATAAAGTGATATTCTTTAGCAAAACAAAGTTATAAGTGATATTGTTTTACCGCAAAGAAGAAGATAAATGTCGAGCTTTCCAGCCTCCTGTGAGCACAGGCAGCCAAGTGATGGATACAAACTCCTGTGATCTAGAAGAGGTAATCTCCCCCATGAAAGAGATGATGGCATCAAAATTTTCAACTACGTCAGAATCCCTTGATGAACGTGGTGGAAGAAGAGGCAGATCCATTAAAAGGCGTCTTGGACCACGCTCAAATGTGACTCTACAAGTCAAGAAGAAAATCACAAGGAGTCCCACGAAGGGGTTTCTGTCCAAGAAACGAAGCACTCTCAGAGAACCCTCTAAGAAAAGAGTGAATGCAGATTTGATCATCTCTCAGTGTGTTGAAAATCCGTCGTCCTCGAAGCCGGACCCCTCTCAGGGTAAAAATTTGGAGGAAATCAAAGAGCTGGTGGTTAAGGAGAAACCACCGGCTAAGCCATAATGATCCTAAGCTGGAATTGCCAAGGAGCTGGTAGTTACTTGGCAATTCGGCACCTGCGGGACATCTGTCAAAAGATTTTTCCAGGTATTATGTTTCTTATGGAGACAAATAATCAACGTGCCTTCCTCCAAGACCTGCAGTATCATCTTGGTTATGATTTTTTTTTACTGTTGATCCTATCGGCCGTAGTGGCGGTCTTGCTTTGTTTTGCGTTATCTGAGTTTAATGTTCAAGTTTTATTTTCCAATAATAGAGTTATCGATGTATCATCTACGATTGGTGACAATAAAGTTTTTATTTCTTTTGTTTACGGCGATCCTGTCATTAACCGTAGGAACTAAGTTTGGGAACGCTTATCTCGTATTAGCACTTCTCGATATGATGCATGGTTAATGACTGGTGACTTTAACGAGATTAATGGAAACCATGAAAAATCGGGTGGCTGTATCCATAGTGAAAACTCTTTCCTTGACTTTCGTCTCATGCAACAAAATTGTGGCATGACTGATCTTCCTTTCACAGGAGATTGTCTATCATGGGTGGGACGAAGGAAAAAACATCTCATTCGTTGCCGACTAGATCGAGCGATGGGAAATGAGGATTGGTTCAATTTATTCTTGAGATCTTCTTCCAAGTATCTGAAATTCATGGGATCAGATCATCGTCATGTCCTCATATACGTCTCTTCATGCAAAACCAAAGGAAAAAAGAACTTTCGTTTTGATAAACGATGGATCTCTAAACCATGATTTCAAGATATCATTCGAGAGGGATGGATGTCAAACGAAGAGGGAAGAAATGTATCTCTCCATGAACGAAGTACTAAGTGTCGATCCTCTATATCACGCTGGCGTAGAGAAGATAAAAAAAACTCTGCTAAAACCTTGGAAGACCTTCAGTCTAAATTAGATAAAGGTCAACCCGATGAGAATTTATCAACAGAGGATGTCTCATTAATCCAAAACCAACTTATAAAAGCTTATGAGGAAGAAGAGATTTTTTGGCAACAAAAAAGTCGGAATCTCTAGTTGAAAGATGGAGATAGGAACACAAAATTCTTCCATGCCTCAACTAAGCAAAGAAGAGCACGAAATCGCATCATTGGACTCAATGATTCTGGAGGTGTTTGGACACAAAATGAGCAAAAAAATTCAAAACCATTGCGGTAGACTACTTTAGCAAGATGTTCCAATCTTCATCGACTACAGATATTGAAGTCTCTCTTAACAATCTGCCAAATCGCATCTCCCCTGAGATGAATGAGAGATTGTGTAAGGAATTCTCTCCCCCCCCCGCCCTTAAGATAAAAAATGCTCTATTCTCAATACATCCTGGGAAAGCTCCAGGTCCTGATGGTATGACAGCTTTGTTTTACCAAAAGTATTGGTCGACTACTGGACCTCATGTAATCAAGATGGTACGAGATTTCTTTGTCTCAGGGACCTTTGAGGCCAAATTAAACGAGACAAATATCTGTCTTGTACCAAAAACATAACGTCCTAGAGATATGGCCAACTTTCGCCCCATTAGCCTATGCAATGTCAGCTACAAAATTATTTCCAAGGTACTGTGCCAAAGGCTAAAAGCTATCCTCCCAATAAATTGTATCGGAGACACAATCTGCATTTGTTGCAGGGAGATTAATCTCAGATAATATCTTGCTAGCACAAGAAGCTTTCCACGCTCTGAACACTCATCCAAGAAGCAAGAACGAGTTTTTAGCCATAAAGACGGACATGAGTAAAGCATATGACAGAGTAGAATAGAATTTCTTGGAAGCTCTGCTGACTAAAAAGGATTTCATAATAAATGGGTATTATGGATAATGAGGTGTGTGCGGTCAGTCTCCATACTCGTAAATGGAAGTCCTATGGGGCATATTACTCCATCTAGAGGACTACGACAAGGAGACCCTTTATCGCCATACCTCTTCATTATATGTACGGAAGTCCTAATTGCTAATATTCAGGCGGCAGAGTTGGCTGGCCATATCTCTGGCTTGAAAGTTGCTCAGGCAAGTCCTGCGATCTCTCATCTGCTATTTGCAGACGATAGCCTTTTCTTCTGTAAAGCAGATCCTACAGAATGAAACTCATTCCTAGATATCCTCAAAATCTGTGGCAATGCATCTGGTCAAGAATAAATTTTGAAAAGTCAGCCATCACTTTTCGGAAAAAAGTCTCACCTGAAAGTAGGGAACTTTTAAAAAACATTTTGAACATCAGGACAGATGGAGGTTCAGGCAAATACCTGGGTCTCCCAGAGCAGCTCCAAGGATCAAAGACCCAAGTCTTTGCTTATATTCGAGACCGTCTCCATCAAAGAATCAACGGATGGACTGCAAAACTTCTCTCAAAAGCCGGTAAGGAAATTATGATCAAGTCCGTAGGTTTAGCTATCCCGACATTTGAAATGTCATGCTACCTATTTCCAAAAGAGCTATGCAAAAAGCTAACAAGAGCAATTTCTAATTTTTGGTGGAGCTCAGCCTCTAATTCCAAAGGAATGCACTGGATCGCATGGAATAAACTCTGCTTGCCAAAACAAGATGGAGGATTAGGATTTCGATCTTTGGAAGAGTTTAATCGCGCCTTACTGGCAAAACAATTGTGGCGCCTTGACCAACACCCAAACTCCCTAGTGGCCAGAGTTCTAAAAGGCAGATACTTTAAGAACTCACACCCCTTTAAAGCTCCCAAAGCCTCTAGACCTTCATATGGCTAGAGAAGTATGTGTGCGGAAAAAACCTAGTTCTGAAGGGTGCACGTCGTACTATTGGTACGGGAACCCAAACTTTAGTTTGGGATGATCTGTGGTTACCTGAAACATTAGCTCAGCCACCGAAAATTGCTCCAGGAATGAATGACCCTCACTTACTAGTCTCGGACCTCATTAACCCAGACACAAAAACATGGGATATTCATCTCATTCGGGATATCATAGACCCTCGAGATATACCGTTGATACTCAGTATTCACATTAGTCACATGCCTAAAGAAGATGGATACTGCTGGAATCTCTCAAAAACGGGAGCATACTCTGTAAGATCGGGCTACACATTAGCGCAGTCAGAGCTAGACGAAGAAACAACCCTCTTCTGCCAACAACCTTTGCTAAACCCCCTCAAGGAGAAAATCTGGAAACTTAAAGCACCAAAAAAGATGTGTCATTTCCTATGGCAAATGCTATCAGGTGCGGTGGCGGTGAACGAGCGCCTAACCATAAGACATCTAGGTAATGATCCCAGTTGCCCTAGATGTGGAGAGGCGGAAGAAACGATTAACCATACTATATTCCTATGTTCACCAGCTCTTCAGTGTTGGGCCCTTTCATCAATTCCCTCAGCGACAGAGGTGTTTCCGTCACTAAATCTGTTCGAGAATGTGGATTACCTATTATCCAGAATTCCCAATCAGGAGAGCATAATAAAGTCCATTAGAGTTTTCCCTTGGATTGTCTGGTATATTTGGAAAACCCGCAATGACAAGTTGTACAATGGACAGGACCGACTTCCATCTGAAACATTTGATCACACTCTTCGAGAAAGCGAAGCATGGTTTTCAGCTAACCAAGTTACATATCCTGTTGAACCTCCAATGGAAGATATTTGTAATTACTGATCCACCGGTTTTCATTTGTAAAATAGATGGATCTTGGAAAGGAGATAGTCTCACAAACGGGGTGGGTTGGATTCTACAGCTTCAAGATGGCTCCATAGACCTCCTGGGTCTTCAAGGGACTCGTCGAGGCATTTCTCCTCTCCACATGGAGCTCCTCAGCCTGATTTGGGCATTCAAATGTCTAAATAGACACAATAGGTATTGTAACTATTTTGTTACTGATTCCAAGGAATTAGTACAAATGGTTACTAATCCAAAAGAATGGCTCGCATTTGCAATGGAGCTGTGCGAACTCGAGGACCTGGGTGGTTTCGCCCATGATGTCAACATAGTTTTTGAGCCGAGAACTAGAAATCAACAAGCGGACTTCCTTGCTAAAAGCGCTCGCACTCAAAATCGTGTTTTCTCTTATATGAGCACATCGGTGCCTCTCTGGTTAGATGTTGAAAATTTGCCTTTAGCGGATTCGTACTAATTATAATATTTTGTTGTGACAAAAATAAAAAAAGTGATATTGTTTTACCTAATTATTTTAATCAATTGTTTTACTTTTCTAATCGCAATGCATAGGGATTCTTTTTGGGATCGTCATTTTTCCACGAACATTACTAGATTAGAACTCTTATGATATGACAATGCCAACCTGATATTTTTCATTACTTTAAAAAAATACTTTTTATTTAATTGAAATTAATTACTTTTAGATTTTTTACCTAAATTACAGATTCATTGTAGTCAACAAATTATAATACTCTCTCCGTTTCACAAAGAGTGTCGTTTTAAGATTTTATTTTTGTTTCACAAAGAATGTCGTTTTATATTTTCAATGCAAAATTTTAAACAATATTCCAGTTTTAACCCTATTAATTTAATGTATTTATTAGATAAAAACAAATTATTTAAAGTATTAATAAGGGACAAAGTTGTACTTTTAATAATTTTCTTAATATGTGTGAAAAATATCAGAATGACACTCTTTATGAAACGGAGGGAGTAGGAATTGTAATAGTTTTGTTATTTTTTGTTGACCTAAAATAAAAGCAATTGTAAGTAAATGTAATTTTAACTGCTAAATTCTAACTATGAAAAAAGGCCAAATTGTATTTTTTTTTGTTTTTGTTTTTTTAAACTACTATTTATTTATCATTTTTATTGGTTTATCAACTTAAAATACTCCACTTATACAAACTTAAAATACATTACTTTATTTGTAAGATCTTATTCAAAGGTCATACTATTTATTTATTAAAATTTTGTTTTGATGGCGATATTGAAAGTTCATTGCAGTCAAACAATTATAATATGAATTAGGAACTAGTATATTGTTTAAGTGATTTTTTGTTCTCTCGTAGGGGCAAGTCTCCTGAAAAACAGAAAACCGGTCAGGGGCCTGAAAAACACGATGGAGTGTGTTTTTCGAAGGCACTCCGACACTCAAGTCAGAAAGCAACTCAAAATGACTACAAAGAGAAGGTCAGAGAACGGAAAGATATCGGAAAACTATAGTTTAGGAAGGTGGACCGAGAGTCTCTGAGAAAGGTGAGATCTGCTCGGGTCTAGGAGAGAAAATAGGCTTTTTGAGTGGAAGGAAAGGAAAGAAGAAAAGTTTCGGAAGAAAACTCCACAGTTTAGGAACCGCCGTGGAGAAGAACAAAAGTAATGTAAAGTGAGATGACCGGAAATATGGTCGGAAGTCTGGAAAGTGCCTTAGCCCAAGAACCACAAGTATCTAGAGAGATATTGTGAGACTTGAGATGGCTGAGAGAGTGAACCTCCTTCCCGTTGGAAATGATAAAGTATTTATAGAGAACTACCTGGTCCGGGTTAGTAAACCGGGCTGGCCCATTACTCGTGGAGCGGGTGGGTCGGCCCACGACCCGACTTGTCTGAGTCTGGATCTCGCGATTACGTCATGCTCTGAGGGTCTCACATAATTTTCTTCGCGTGTTCTGCCTGCGACGAGACCATCTCTTGGCGCGTCTCTTTCATCCTCAGTGTACGGGTTTAGTCGGCGGCTCAGACGCGGTATGGCTCTTCGCTGAACCACTGCATTCCCCTGGCTCCAATGAATGGTCATTGTTACCTGACATGCGTAAGGGAAATGCATTAAATGCCATTCACGTGGCTTGTAAAAGGATGGATAGTTTGATAAGACAATGGCATATTCCTATTGTTGTATGGAGAAAAATTTGAATAGTGTTCCCGCTTAAACGATTTGCCCATACCTGGCTCGGATCCCTCAATACTGGGACCGGGCTGATGCAGAGGGTAGTCCTTGCTCTCCGAGTACCTGTGCAGACCACTCTTCCTTATATCTCTATCCTTCCGGATCACCGAGCTTAATTAGATCTAGGACATAGAGAATGTGGCATCTCCTCTTATTGACCACTCAGTTTCCGACTTTCTTACACCTGACAGCGTGGCATATACTGTCAGACACAAGGAATCCGGGAACAAGTGGCTTATTGTGCCGGATCTCCCGAACCTAATTTGGATTCGAGGCCGGGTGCTATAAGCTTAAGCTGTATTGGGCCGGAGGTCCAAGTCTGGCCTAATACATGCCCTAATTTAGCCCGGAAGGCGCGTATCTGCAAAAAGATCATGGACGTCACGTGCAAGCACGCAATTCATTTACGTAAGGAGGATCGTCAACATATATTTATATTTATGCATTTTTGTTGATAATAACTAATGAAGGAAATTACAATTAAATATAATTCAAATAATTGCTTATTAGGAAAAAATCTATTTAAATACTTTAAAATACATGAACTTTGAAAAAATTATTTAAACTACACCTCATTTGTAGTCAACTAAATAACAATTTATCTAAATAAATACTTTTTATCTATCTAAAAGCCAAAAAAACAAATTTTATTACCAGTAACAGTTACATTGATTGCACATTCAATGTATATTTGTAGTCAACAAATTATAATTAGAGATAGTAAGTTTTATAATGATTAAAAATAAATATAAATAAATGTAATTTTAAATGCCTAAATTTTAATTATGAAAAAAGCCAAATTGATTTTTTTTTTGTTTTGTTTTGTGTGTGTACTTATAAGATATAATTTTATCAACTTAAAAAGACCTTACTGTTATTAATTAAAACTAGTGAATTTATTCACGTCTTGCGTGGACTGATATAATTTTTCATTTTGTTGTTTGAAAATCTAATAGTAGTTTGAAGTCATTTGTTTTTTCTTTCTATTATTGAGTATATTTGTTTATTAGATTTCCTTACATTTTAATGTTTAAAGATATGATCGTGAAAATAGTATATAATAATATAGATAAAACATATTAGTATCCAAATAATTTAGTTTAAATAGTTTAAAATATTTTGATCACTGTTCTATGTATTTAAGACGTAGTTATTTGAATTACCGTACTAACTCATTTGAAGAAGTAAGAAGAGTTAAACAATTTAGAAAGGGTGTGAGAGAATTAGAGGGAAATTATGTACATATTTATACTAAAACATTTGAAATCAAATACACTAATCTATACATCACAAATACCATCATTCCATCAGACATTCTATTTATTGATTTTTAATTTTTTGTTAAATTTTACTAAATTTTAGTTTTATAAAATTTTAGAAACAGTTTGATTTGACAGCAAAATAAATCATTAAATTACAATAATTTAGAACGGTTTGTTTTAAGTTATTTTTAACACATCATCAGATAAGAACCAACAAAAATGACACATAATCGGTAAATGGGGTAAAAATGGCTTTTTGCAGCTGAAATTTATTTTAGAACTGACACGTGAGCGAAACACTGTAAAAATCGCTGTGAATGCGACACGTAAACAAATCACTACATAAATAAGTATATAGATATGTTATTTTTTGTAAGAATTTTTGTCAAAGGTCAAAGTCAAACTAAGCATTAACTAAATTGCTATCTTCATGCTCCCATACACATTATATAAGCATCTGAAGAACCATGTAAACTTTATCAAAACGTATTTACAAACTCTAAACCAGAAACTTAATTCTCATATCCCAAACTTTCAGGAAAAAGACATGGCGGCATCAAAAACACCAATCTTTATCGCTCTCGTCCTTTATCTCTCATGTAATTAGCTCCTCCTTATATATATACTTCTCTTTATAGATAGAAATCGATTAAATCGATTTAGTAGACTAAGTCACTGTGTTTGCTATTGATTAATAAGCCTATTATTGTTCGTTAATGTCTCTGGGATTGAGGCATTTGGAGGTATAATTCCACCATGTTCGACATCAGAACTTTGTGAGTCATGGTGTTTAAGAGAAACAGGCGGACCAGGAGAATGTAAGCAAGGAGAGTGCTATTGCAAGAGGCTAGAGTGCAAGACAGACAAAGATTGTGATCTTATATGCCCTAAACACTTTAATCACTGTATTAATGGAAAATGTTTATGTTCAACTAATTAATCGATTTCAAAAAGAAAATAATAATACACCTATTCCTCCTACTAAATTTCCGATTATATGCAATTTTTACCATTATAAATTAACAATATTAATAAATCAAATTGTTATTTTTTTCCCGTTTGATTATTGAGATTATTTTTAAGTAATTTTAAAATTGCTGCGACCATACATATTTAAATATATTCTAACCGCAAAATAATATATATATATATATATTATATCTACAATTCTGTGTTGTTATATAAAGTTTTCTTTTTATTCTATCGAATATACAGCATTTTCTATCTCTAGCACCACATGCATAGTAAAACACATTTTAAACCTTAAGCAAATAAGTTATAAAGTGATATATATTCTTTAGCAAAAAAAGTTTTTTTTTTTTGGTAAAAAGCAAAAAAAGGTTATACGTGATAAAACAATATCACGTATAAGCAAAAAAGTTATACGTGATATTGTTTTATCCAATTGTTTTAACCAATTGTTTTACTTTTCTAATCGCAATGCATATAGATTCTTTTTGGCATTGCCATTTTTCCACGAACATTACTAGATTAGAACTCCGATTATATACAATTTTTACCATTATAAATTAACAATATTAATAAATCAAATTGTTATTTTTTCCCGTTTGATAATTGAGATTATTTTTTAAGTAATTTTAAAATTGCTGCGACCATACATATTTAAATATATTCTAACCGCAAAATAATATATATATATATATATTATATCTACAACTGTGTGTTGTTATATAAAGTTTTCTTTTTATTCTATCGAATATACATCATTTTATATCTCTAGCTCCACATGCATAGTAAAACACATTTTAAACCTTAAGCAAATAAGTTATAAAGTGATATATATTCTTTAGCAAAAAAAGTTTTTTTTTTTGGTGAAAAGCAAAAAAAGATTATACGTGATAAAACAATATCACGTATCAACAAAAAAAATTATACGTGATATTGTTTTATCCAATTATTTTAACCAATTGTTTTACTTTTCTAATCGCAATGCATATAGATTCTTTTTGGCATCGCCATTTTTCCACGAACATTACTAGATTAGAACTCCTATGACATGACAATGCCAACCTGAAATTTTTAATTACTTAAAAAAATACTTTATATTTAATTAAAATTTATTACTTTTAAATTTTTTACCTAAATTACAGATTCATTGTAGTCAACAAATTATAATAAGAATTGTAATAGTTTTGTTATTTTTGGTAGGAATTTGGTCGTAAATTTACGAGAAAAATCCTACCATACCAAAATGTCCATAGTAAATTTCCTACGGTCATTTTCGTATGAAATTTCTTACCATTTATCTATTATTCAAAATTTTTGACGGCCGATTTCCTATAACTTATTAATTTTGTAGGAATTGGGTAAAAAAGGTTGTTTCCTACGCTTTAACGACGATATTTGCCGTAGGTTTTCGGTATGTTTTCTTGTAGTGTTATGACATGATGACAATGCCAACCTGATTCTTTTCATTACTTAAAAAAATACTTTTTATTTAATTAAAATTCATTATTTTTAGATTTTTTACCTAAATTACAGATTCATTGTAGTCAACAAATTATAATAAGAATTGTAATAGTTTTGTTATTTTCTGTTGACCAAAAATAAAAGTAATTGTAAGTAAATGTGATTTTAACTGCTAAGTTCTAATTATGAAAAGGCCAAATCATATTTTTGTTTTGTTTTTGTTTTTGTAAAATACTATTTATTTATCAACTTTTTTTGGTTTATCAACTTGAAATACCTCACATTTACAAACTTAAAATATGTTACTTTATATATAAGATCTTATTCAATGGTCATAATATGCATTAACTAAATTGCCATCATCATCAGGCTCCAAGACACATTATATAAAGCATCCAAAGAACCATGTAACTTGATCAAAACTTATTTACAAACTCTAAACCATAAACTAATTCTCATATCCAAATTTTCAGGCAAAAGACATGGCAGCATCAAAAACAGCAATCTTCATTGTTTTCGTCGTTTATCTCTCATGTTAGCTCCTCTTTATATATATACTTCTCTTATATATTTTGATTAAATCTATTTAATAGACCGACTAAACTGTGACATGTACGTGTTTGATATTAATAGGCATATTGTTGGTGAGCGTCTCTGGAACCGAGGCCGGAAAGAAGGTACATAAACCATGCTCGACGGACCGTGACTGTGACTCGCAGTGTTTTGGAGGGTTAGGCGGGCCACATGGGACTTGTCTGTTCGGAGAGTGCGAGTGTATAGAAGCCGAGACTGAGGTGACCAAACCGATACCGTGCAAGAGGGACAGTGATTGTCCTGATTCTCGTGAATGCCCTAAAGACTACTATTACTCTTGTCTTCATGGAGAATGTACTTGTATATCAGTCTAAACTCTAAACTAATTAATCGATTGAAGAAAATATTATAATACATTATTATTGTTCCTCCCTCCTACAGAATCTTCGATGATGCAATTGTTATATTCATCATCACGCTACTACCATCATAGATTAGTACTATTAGTAAATAATCAAAATTATTATTTTCTTTCCCATTTAAAACTAATGTTTAAGATTATGTGCTGAAAAAGCCTATTAATGTCTTGAACATGGTTGAATTATAATGGTAATGTCCCAAAAGTATATACATGCATATTTTATTGTTTGGAGTTTATTATCAATTTATCATATATCACAAAATTATCATTTTATTTGTTTTTATCATATTTATTTGTTTTTGTTGACATCATATAATTAACATTTTTGTAAAGCGAAGTTGTTTCTTTTCAAAGGATTTAATAAGCCGTTGGATATGTTTTGAACGTTTTGGAAATATGCCATGATATTGTAGAGACAAGATATCACACACCAGTGCACACATTACTCGACTGGAGAGCAAGTTTAAAGCCTATACATACATATAGATAATTAGATATGATGTATATTCATTTGTCTTATTATTGACCTCTCAAAACTGTCCGTGTAGCGTCTTCTCTTCTCTCTCTCCATGCCACCCGATTAACTTCCGTTATGGGAAAGGAAAAAAGCTTCAAACTTTTCCAGAAAAAAAAAAGCAAATCTTTTTGTCGCTGTTGCTTGAAATCTCTCTGATTTATTCATAAAGCTTGCATCTTGGGGTCTTTCACAAGGTTTTTGTTCTTAGTTTCGATCTGAGGAGCTCTGTTTAGCGATTACACATGGTGGGTACTGAACAGTCTCCATTTTCCAGGGCGAGGAATACGCGTACGTACTTACACTCTCGTTTCTTCTCCTTCTTACTCTGTAACCCTTCTTTGCTTGTGACCTTGTCGTTGCTCTTTAAATGAATACAAATTTGGTTTGGCTAAGAATAAGAAGACAAATCTCTGTTTATGGAGGTTCACAGATGCAGAAATCGGAGTTTGAACATCTCACATTTTGTGTTTTGTTTGATTTCTAGTGCTGAACCGAGTCTCTTGATTCTCACTGTGAATTTGATTCTAAAAACCCATAAGGGTTTTTGTTTCCCTTAAGTTCATTTCTCGCTGTAGCTTTCCTCCTGGCTTTTAGATTTTGACCTAAAAATCGTTTCTTTTTTCCGTGTTTGTTTGAGGAAATTAATTTCTTCATTTTTGGGTGCAAATGTTAAGAAATAACGTGATTCACTTTGTTTCTGCTTCTCATTTTTACTGGTGATTGTTGATGAAACAGCTTGGTTTTTGAGGTCGCGTAACAAGAGAATAAGCCAATCACAACTTGCGAAGCGTGCTGACCCTTTCTTTCTACCGAATCTCCTTGATGGGTTTGAAGAGAGTAAATACGGATGGCTTGCTAATGATATTAAGAGACTTTGTGAGCTCAAAAGGAAAGTCTTGAATGGTTCTAGACGACAGAAGAAAAAATCAGACAGGATTCTTATCAACGATTCCGATGATGTGTTGCCTCAAGAATCCATTACTGTAAGCTTCATTGCAGAAATTGATGTTCATATAAATTATTAGTTAATGTTTGTTTCAAATTTGATTCCATCTTTTTGATGCCAAGTTCAAATCTTTATGAAATCATTCTGCATTTTTATGATGTGAAGAGCGAAAATTGCTCAGGAACTGTCGCGGGTCCTCAGGGTTATAGCGAGGAGGATTCATCAAGAATTTCTACAGATTATGACAATGGAACTCATCCATATGAAGTTGGTGAAGAAGAAGACGAACTGTGGAGGCTGATGGCATTTGCTCAAGAATCATCTAAGGTTACTTAATTGTACATTTTCAACGAATCACAGACAATAGACCAAAAACTGCATACATCTTCTCTCAAATATGCAAATAGATTCAACTTATTAGCGTTTTCAGCTGATTTTTGCCTATGTTATTGGTTAGGTAACGGTGGAGAATTCACAAGGCAATGATAGTCTCAAACAAATCGAAGACTGTGAGCACTCCTTCATCCACAAGGATGATATTGGAGAAGTGTGTCGTGTTTGTGGACTCATCAAGACGCCCATCGAGAGCATAATCGAAGTTGTGTACAACAAGGTCAGTTATCACTGATATATAATCTGACTGGAAATATATAGACATTGTCACAAATCTCTCTACTTTATGTCCTAATGTAGCCGAAGAGATCAAGAAGAACTTACATGCGTGAACAAGAAAAAGGGGAAACGAGGTGGGCATTCGCAGAAAACCGGTCTTCTCAGGCAAACATTTTGGGAGACAAGATGTTCATCCACCCAAGGCATGACAATGAGATGAGGCCTCACCAGATTGAAGGATTCAACTTTTTATGCAATAACCTTGCAGCGGATGAGCCAGGTGGGTGCATATTAGCTCATGCACCAGGATCAGGCAAGACATTTCTGCTCATCAGCTTTATGCAGAGCTTCATGGCTATGGATCCACAGGCAAAACCATTGATTGTGCTACCAAAGGGGATCATAGAGTCATGGAAGAGAGAGTTTACCAAGTGGGCGGTCGAGAACATTCCTCTGATTGATTTCTACAGCGTGAAAGCTGAATCACGGAGGCAGCAACTGCAGGTTTTGAGACAATGGGTTGAACAAAGAAGCATTTTGTTTCTCGGGTACCAACAGTTTGCCAAGATCATATGTGATGATGATAACATTGACGCCGTTTCAGAAAGCTGTAAGCGGATATTGCTTGAGAAGCCAACGTTGCTGATCCTTGACGAGGGTCATACATCGAGGAATAAGGAGACGAACATGCTTATTTCTCTTGCTCGTGTCAAGACTCCTCGAAAAGTTGTCCTCACAGGTACATTGTTCCAAAACAACGTAGAGGAAGTGTTTAACATTTTGAATCTTGTTCGTCCCAAGTTCTTGAAGCGTCCTGGAACTAGGGATATTGTTTCCCGTTTCAAGGCAGAGATACCGAGGGGCAAACAGATGAACCAGAATAGTATCGAGGGGACTTTCTTCGCTGCAGTGGAACTTACATTGAAGAACAGCATAGACTATGGAGACAAAGCCAAAGCCAGCTTGATTAATGATCTACGGGAGATGACCCGTAATATCTTGCATTATCACAAAGCAGATTTCCGAGGCGTGCTTCTCGGGCTAACTGAATTCACTGTCATGCTCAATCTGAGCTCAGTTCAGAGAGATGAAGTCAAGGGTCTGAGGAGAATGGATTTGTTCAAGCAGATCTCTCTTGGTGCTGCTCTGTACATACACCCAAAGCTCAAGACTTTCTTGGAGGAAAACCCGTCGAATGGAGACAAGGGTTTTGCTGATAACAACACACTGAGGAAGCTAGATGCGATGCTGAAGAGGATCAATGTCGGAGACGGTGTGAAGATGAAATTCTTCCTCAACCTCTTAGCTCTGTGCGAATCAGCAGGAGAGAAGCCCTTGGTCTTTAGCCAATACATCATTCCGATCAAGGCTCTCGAGAGACTCATGAGCTCGATGAAAGGCTGGAGACTGGGGAAAGAGATGTTCACGATCACAGGCGATTCGAGCAACGAACAGAGAGAATTGTCGATGGAGAGGTTCAACAATTCACCAGATGCTAAAGTCTTGTTCGGATCGATCAAAGCCTGTGGGGAAGGAATCTCGCTGGTGGGTGCATCGCGAGTACTGATTCTCGATGTTCATCTAAACCCATCGGTGACGCAGCAGGCCGTGGCTCGAGCTTACAGACCAGGACAGAAGAGGAGAGTGTATGCGTACAGGCTCATAGCTGCGGATTCGCCGGAGGAAGAGAACTACGAAACGTGTTCGCGGAAAGAGATGATGTCGAAGATGTGGTTCGAGTGGAAGGTTGGATCGAGAAGAGATGATTTTGGGTTTAGAGCCGTCGATGTTGATAACTCCGGCGATGCCTTTCTTGAGACGGCCAAGATGAGGGAAGATATCAAGAGTTTATTCACTAGGTAATGGAACTTTTGATAACCGATTCTAACCGGTTCGAACCAGATAGTGGAAACTTTGGTGAAATCGGTTTAACAGTCTGTAATTCAATTCTGTCGCCATATTTTTCTATGGTAGAGAAAGATGGATTCTCTCTTTCGGGATTTTGACTCGAATTGGTGCTGCAAGCAATAGACAAAAAAAAAACTGTGCCGACCAAACCGAAATCGCTTGTGCCATTCGGTTCGGTTTATCTGAGATTAATAGCCGGTTGACTTGGGTTTAGTGGTTTTGTAAATAAGTCGACATTTTAGAGCTGCTGAGCCTCTCTATAGCTCAGTCTGAGTCTTCGTCCGAACGGCGTAGGGCTTCTCATCAACGATCAAAGCTAAAACCATTCTCAGGTCAAAACGATAGAGCTGCAACAAAATGAGAATTAATGTTGGGCCAAGCAAACAAGAAGCCCACTCAGATTGATGAAGCACACAGGCCCACGACGCCTTAGTCAAAGTCTCAAAGATGACTCAACGGTCATCTTCTCTGACAGATAAAATGCTCTGCCTCTGTGTGTGAGTCTCTGCTGAAGAAGAAGTACAGGAAGATCAGGAAAAGAAAGCAAAACATCCTTTTCTGATCATGATGGGCAAACTCATTTTCAACCCTCGATCAAATCGAAAAGCCGCAGGATGAAGACATCTGTCAAGGCTACTAGGGTGAAAACCAATAAGTTGAAAGAAATCAAAAAAATTTAAATCTTTTTCTTCAAAATCTCGAAGCTTTGCTTCAACTTCCACATTTCTTCAGTGTTCTCTCTCAGTCTCTCAGTCTCAAACATTGTGAAAAGGCTAATTCTTAATCTAGAGCCAGTCTAAGGTATGAATCAGTCAATGGGGAAGAACAAGAGAGAGAGGAAAGATGGAGTAGAAAAATCTCAACAACCTGCTGCAACTGTATGCGTCTCTGGCTTGCCTCATTCCTTCACCAACGTTCAGGTACAAGCATTGTTGAATTCGAATTGTAAATCGATTGTTTTGAATTGTATCTCTTCAAACTCTTAGTAGCTGTGTATTGTTTTCTTCCAGCTTGAAGAGGCCTTTAGCGACGTTGGTCCCGTCAGTATTTTCTTTATGATCACAAGCAAAGGTGAGTGGATTTGTGTGTCACAATTGAAACTTAGAGCTCATCTCTCCCATCAGGAGCTAATCAATCATCTTCTTCTTGTTCACAGGATCAAACGAACACCGTTGCTTTGGGTTTGTTAAGTTGTAAGCAACATACCTCTTGAAACTTTTAAAATAAAAGCAAGTGATATTGGTTCTTACAGTATCAGTATCCTCTGCAGTGCTTTGCCAGAAGATGCTAGCCGTGCCATTGAGTTGAAGAACGGTTCTACTGTTGGGGGCCTTAAGATTGCAGCTAAGCTTGCCACGCATGGTCCAGAGTGTCGTACAAAAGAAGCTCAAGGTTAGCTTTTAGAGTCTTAAGGGTTCAATCATTACTAGTGTTACCTCTGCCTTCACCTATTCATTGACATCTTCTATCTCTTATATTTTCTCGTATTAGGGATCTCTTTACCTGATACTTCCCAGGCAGGGTGTGACAAGGGCAGTTTGATCCCCGAGACAGGAAAGCAAGGTATAAGCTTGCCTATGTTTGGTATCTTCTGAGTCTTAAGTAAATTGGCTTTGGTTATCGTTTATCGATAAAATTTGCTGTATTTGCATCAGTAGAGAAGCCAGTTGAGCGCAAAAGACCAACAAATCATGTTGACATAGCTGAGATGGCAGAGGAGGTAGTCCATAAAGAGAATGGCACTGTCAGATATCCCTTCCACGTAGACGTAGAAGAAGAGCTCCAACCAAATGGTAAGAATATATCTTGTAAAGTAAATGGAGGCAAATGCTTATTTGCATGATCTGTGTAGTGGAGAACAACATTGTCATTCTTCTAAGCACCACACTAAACAAATACAGTGTCAATGAAATGAACACTATTGGGACATGATGACTAGTCCATGTTTGTTTATGGAGTGGACTCCTGTTTTTGTGGATGTAGGGATTCAATGGTTCCAGCTTTTTGCAGTTTTAGAAGATTGTATGAGATGTTTGATTCGCCACTACTTTTTTTCTTGGTTCTGAGTTTGTTTTTGCTGCAGCATCTGATGAGTCTAACCCGGAATGGGACAATAGCCTTCCAACAAGGCGGTTCGCCACCGACCGCTTCCCATATGGGAGGTTAAATGCAGAACCGTGTTCACCTTGTATATAAAAAGGCGGTTGCCTCAAGCTCCCTATGATATATCTAAATTTTATGGTATGAATTTTAAATTTTAGTTATAAAACAAACTATTGTATATATGTGTAAATAGTATCTCTTTTATTAGTTTCCCATCCAAATAATAATTTTCTATACACATAGTGAAGTTAGGCTTGAATCCTTCTATGTTTAATCATTATTAATTTTCACATCTGATTTTTCTTTTGATTATGTTTTTTATTACTATTTTTTTTGCTTCTCGTATATTATTTTTAATATATAATTTCTATAATTTATTTCATTTTATATTTTTGTTTTTTTAAAAAAAAATACAATTTAATCAACACAGATTTTATAAGATATGTACATACTCTTGTAATAGATGATCTTTTGATATTGAAATTTTGTTTGATATAGTAAACTGTATAGTTTGTCTATAGACTGAAAATATTGAATCTAGTTTTTTCATAATATTGGATGTATTTTACTAGCTAGATGTTTCATATTTTTTTTATTAACGCACTTTTGTAGAAGCCACATTTTTAAATTTCGCCTTAAGCTCCTTCAAACCTAAGCACGGTACTGGTTAAATGTATACTCCAAACCAAACACGCTGGCCTTCATGAAGGACACTCGAGAGTTTGATGCAATCCGGATATCTAGTAAATCCATTTAACATCATATGATATTAGAGGATTCAGTAAAATCTCATATTACACGGTCATCGGTTTGGCCTTTTTTTTTTTGCTGATCCTTGGAGCTTAGAACGAATCCAAATCAAGATTTAACTTGGAACCGATTTACTAAAACCGGACCGGTTTAGGTCAACAAAAACAGCATGTGAATTATAGAGGACCCTAACGAACCGCTCGTTCCAGACCATCATACCCAAAACCAAAAACAGAGGTTTCACTCTGTCTCTTCTCCAATTCCCATCTCGCCGCGTCCGCTGTGGTTTTCTTCGCCATCCGTTGTTCTCTTCAACAACAACAGTCTTTTGCTAAGGTAATTAAGATCCGCTATTAGCGTTGAAGCATATATATATATATATATATATATATATAATTATCCAAAACCAAAAAATATATATACACAAAACCCTAGCCTTGGCACAATCGGTCTATTGTTGTTTATTTGACTGGGAATATGGGTTTATTAGCATCATCTGTAGTTGAGATGCCATCTGATGATGGCTGTTTTCTTGATTTGAAAACTCATTATGAACTTTTGGTAATTGCTTTTTGAGCCTTGGAACTTTTCTTGAAATAGAAGCTTCTTCTGCGATTGTTCTCCTTTTATCTTAAGCATCCATCCAATAACATTTTCTAACTTAAAGTTTCTGTTTTGTGTGGCTTGATTGGTCTATAAGAGAGATTGAAGTCTAGACTCAATGAGCGGAAGTTCTTCACATAAAAAGAGTTCTTGGACCCTGAGGAAGGGTCCCCCACCGCTCCTCTTCCCCCATAGTCCCGGTTAGTCTTCTTCTGTCCCTTTCTTTTTATATCCGAAATCAGTTGTGTTTCGATAATGGTTCTTCTGGCCTTCTTTTTTTTTTTTTTTTAAATTTGATGTTCTCAAATTAATGTGGTATCTTCAGTGAAGCTTTCAAAACAAGGCTAGTTTATAAATTTCATAAGAGTCATTAACCACTTTGATAAATGGATCTATATCATTTCCTAGGTTTGTTGCAAGTTTTTTTCCCTGATATGTTTGACAACAGAGATGAGGATGATGATGCTTTTCTAATTGACAGAAAAGTGTTGATTTTCAGACCCTATTTATAACCTTTTGTATCATTTTCGGGCAAAGTTTTGTGAAACAGCTCATGTAACGCAATTTTAAGTCAAACTCTTGTATGTAGTGTTTGATTATGCAAAATTTCACTTACTAGATCTGTATGTTTACTAGCTGAAATGTTCGATTCCGTGCTTTGATCATATTAGCATGCAGTTAGTTTTTGTATATGTTTTTTTATATTTTATTTAAAGTTTGCCTCCTCCACACTCTTAATTTGGTTGTACCACCACTAAGACGATCGACAGTGTAATCCAATTTTGTTGTATGGCTATAGACAGGAAGCCAGATGCAGTAATGACTGGACCAGGATTGAGGGAGATGCTTTTTCCTAACTCCAAGTTGGAAAAGAAGAGAAAACGGCGGCGGATCCCAGAAATAACAATGCTTTATAATCTTGATCATTATAATCATAAGGTTGATAGGAAAAAAAATAGGGAAGCAGAGTCCAAGTATGCTGCAGTAAGTTATACAATACAACTCATCGATCATTTCATAGATTTTCATACATTTATATATATATATATATATATATATATATTCAATAGGATTTATTTCACTGATTCGAATGCTATGTACTTTCAGGAAGAAATCAAGAAGTTTTGTGAGAGAGCTGATGCAGTAAGTTATACAACTCATCGATCATTTCAGAGATTCTCATCATACATAGATTTATCTCACTGATTCGAGTAAAAACAAACTCAATTCATCATCTCGTTGCTCGTGGGCTTGCTCGGCTAGGAAGATTAACATCCTTCGAAAACAGTACGAGGCAGGCTTATTAGTGCCTTACCCCGCCGCTGCCAAAAATACAGCCAAAAAGGAGCCCGGCGGCAAAGGGATACACGCTTTCACAATGGGAAGTTCGTCTAAAAAAGAGTCGAAAAAGAGAAAAAATCCACCTATGATGCGAGCAAATTCTGCACCCATCATAACAAAAAGGGACATTCCACAGAAGAATGCTGCACAGTCTTAGCCGAAAAGGCTAAACTCGCCGTGAAGGCCGCAGAGCAAGAGGGGGAGCCCACAGGAAAGAACGAGGAGTCGGAAAACTCAAAAACTTTAAACAAGAAAAGAGATCGAGCTCCCACAGATGAAAATTCGAGC